GGGATGGGAGACGATTAGATAGGGATGGGAGACGTCAGTCAGACAGGGATGGGAGATGTTGATTAGATAGAGATGGGAGATGTCAGTCAGACTGAAAGAAGAGGAATAAGATAACAAGACGAACCATACTAATATTGCATCATAAATGGTTTATTTTCAAGTCACCAGCAATCACTTTTATGAAAGTATACTTGACAAATGAAAACTAATGGATCAATCAACAAAATGGGTCACCCTGATGAAAATAACACAGACACCCCCCCCCCCCCCCCCCATGCCAGGCACATTTATCCACACTTCCTTGACTCATGGAGTGAAGGCACCAGCACATACTTCACTACACATGCAACACAAACAAATATATCTGCACACACACACACACAACTCCTGTATGTACATGTGTCCCCACCAAAATCCAGTTCCAGCCAGCCCACACAGGAGAGAACAACGCTTGAACTCAGACGTGGGATATCTTTCAATATCACAACATTCTGAAACTGTCCCTCTCCTTCCTGAAAACAAGTATTCTTCAACTGATGCAGCCATTTTGATACTTAGTATTTTTTTTAAAAGTCTTCTTACAGCGTACAGGTGTTGGGGAGATGTGAGAGTGCTAGTGTGTGTCCTTACAGAGTACAGGTGTTGGGGAGATGTGATAGTGCTAGTGTGTGTCCTTACGGTGTACAGGTGTTGGGGAGATGTGAGAGTGCTAGTGTGTGTCCTTACGGTGTACAGGTGTTGGGGAGATGTGAGAGTGCTAGTGTGTGTCCTTACAGTGTACAAGTGTTGGGGAGATGTGAGAGTGCTAGTGTGTGTCCTTACAGTGTACAAGTGTTGGGGAGATGTGAGAGTGCTAGTGTGTGTCCTTACAGTGTACAAGTGTTGGGGAGATGTGAGAGTGCTAGTGTGTGTCCTTACAGCGTACAAGTGTTGGGGAGATGTGAGAGTGCTAGTGTGTGTCCTTACAGCGTACAAGTGTTGGGGAGATGTGAGAGTGCTAGTGTGTGTCCTTACAGCGTACAAGTGTTGGGGAGATGTGAGAGTGCTAGTGTGTGTCCTTTCAGTGTACAAGTGTTGGGGAGATGTGAGAGTGCTAGTGTGTGTCCTTACAGCGTACAGGTGTTGGGGAGATGTGAGACTGCTAGTGTGTGTCCTTACAGCGTACAAGTGTTGGGGAGATGTGAGAGTGCTAGTGTGTGTCTTTACAGCATACAGGTGTTGGGGAGATGTGAGAGTGCTAGTGTGTGTCCTTACAGTGTACAGGTGTTGGGGAGATGTGAGAGTGCTAGTGTGTGTTCTTACAGTGTACAAGTGTTGGGGAGATGTGTGGGTACTAGTGTGTGTCCTTACAGAGTACAGGTGTTGGGGAGATGTGAGAGTGTTAGTGTGTGTCCTTACAGCGTACAGGCGATGAGATGTATGGGTACTAGTGTGTGTCCTTAAAGCTGAGAAGCTGCCACATGCAGTCAACCTGACTGACAGCTGATGCAACAATGTTACCCATAGGACATTCCACAATTGATGCTTCGATGTTACTGATGGAAAGTTTTCTATGGGACACAGTTTAGGATCTGCAGTGAGACTAAGATAAGTTTTCTATAGGACACAGTGCAGGATCTGCAGGGAGAGACAGTAAATGATCTGCAGGGAGAGACAGTACAGGATCTGCAGGGAGATACAGTACAGGACCTGCAGGAAGATACAGGACAGGTGAAACCTAGAACTTAAATGCGGAACCTAGAACTTAAATGTGGAACCTAGAACTTAAATGTGGAACCTAGAACTTAAATGTGGAACCTAGAACTTAAATGTGGAACCTAGAACTTAAATGTGGAACCTAGAACTTAGTTTGCCGTGGAACCAGAATGAGGATTATTGGTTTCTTCCAATCACTAAAAGCTTAAGCTTCATCACCAGTATGGTTGGTACATACAACATTCTAGTCACAAGGATGTACATACAACACTCTAGTCAGCAGATATGGTGTACTTACAACACTCTAGGCACCTGATAAATTGTACATAAACACTTCAGGAAGCCGATAAGTTGTACATACAACATTCTAGGTGCCTGACAAATTGTACACACAACATTCTGAGCACCTGACAAGTACTGTAAACAGCATTCTGAGACTTGACAAATTGTTCATACAGCATTCTTAGCACCTAATAGGTTGTACACAAAGCATCCTAGGCACCTGAAATGTTGTACATGGTCATATAGCTTTCTGGGCACCTGACAAGTTGTACATACAACATTATAGGCATTTGACAAGTTGTACATACAGCATTCTGGGCACCCAACAAATTGTAGATATAGCATTTTGGGCACCTAATAAAGTTGTACATACAACATTCTGGGCACCTGACAAATTGTATATACAACACTCTGGGTACTTGACACATTGTACATACAACTCTTAGTACCTGGCAACAAATGACAGGCTACATGAAAAAAAAAACATGATAACAGCCCCCCACATGACAGGCTACATGATGACAGCCCACATAGGACAGTCACTGTATAATGATAGCATACATAGGACAGTCACGGTACAACTGGCAGCCCACACGACAAGCTACATGATAATAGCCCATACAAGACAGTCACTGCACAATGATAGCCCACAGATATCAGTCACTGTACAACTGGCAGCCCACACAGGACAGTCACTGTACAATGAAAGCCCACACATGACAGTCCCTGAACAACTGGCAGCCCACACATGACAGTTGTTGTACAACTCGCAGCCCATACATGACAGTTACTGTAAACTAACAGCCCACACATGACAGTTGCTGTACAGCCACTGCAGCCCACAAAAGACAGCTGCTGTACAACAACTAGCAGCCCACACATGATAGTCGCTTTACACTGGCAGCCCACACAGGACAGTCACTGTATAATAACTGACATGCCCACACACGACAGTCACTGTACAATAACTGACATGCCCACACTGGCAGCCCACACAGGACAGTCACTGTATAATAACTGACATGCCCACACAGGACAGTCACTGTACAATAACTGACATGCCCACACACGACAGTCACTGTACAATAACTGACATGCCAACACTGGCAGCCCACACAGGACAGTCACTGTATAATAACTGACATGCCCACACACGACAGTCACTGTACAATAACTGACATGCCAACACTGGCAGCCCACACAGGACAGTCACTGTATAATAACTGACATGCCCACACACGACAGTCACTGTACAATAACTGACATGCCCACACTGGCAGCCCACACAGGACAGTCACTGTATAATAACTGACATGCCCACACAGGACAGTCACTGTACAATAACTGACATGCCCACACACGACAGTCACTGTACAATAACTGACATGCCAACACTGGCAGCCCACACAGGACAGTCACTGTACAATAACTAACATGCTCAGAATCATCACAAAAACTGGGAGCGGGATGCATATATATTTACAGGCTTAAATAAAATGCCTTGAAAACAGCAAATTGACAAAGCAGAATGAGGTCAGGGCAAACCACTATTTATTATACAAGGGGTCGAGTGTAACTCTTATAATGGCTCCGATAATACATGTGTGTTATGGTTGTGTAAATTACCTATAAATTCTCCAATAATACATGTGTGTTATGGTTGTGGAAATTACCTATAATGGCTCTGATAATACATATGTGTTATGGTTGTGTAAATTACCTATAATGGCTCCAATAATACTTGTGTTATGGTTGTGTAAATTACCTATAATGGCTCTGATAATACATGTGTGTTATGGTTGTGTAAATTACCTATAATGGCTCCAATAATACTTGTGTTATGGTTGTGTAAATTACCTATAAATGCTCCGATAATTCATGTGTTTTATGGTTGTGTAAATGATCTAAAATGGCTCCAATAATACATGTGTTATGGTTGTGTAAATTACCTATAAATGCTCCAATAATACACGTGTGTTATGGTTGTGTAAATTACCTATAAATGCTCCAATAATACATGTGTGTTATGGTTGTGTAAATTACCTATAAATGCTCCAATAATACATGTGTGTTATGGTAGTGTAAATTACCTATAAATGCTCCAATAATACATGTGTGTTATGGTAGTGTAAATTATCTATAATGGCTCCAATACATGTGTGTTATGGTTGTGTAAATTACCTAAAATGGCCCCAATAATACATGTGTGTTATGGTTGTGTAAATTACCTATAATGGCTCCGATAATACATGTGTGTTATGGTAGTGTAAATTATCTATAATGGCTCCGATAATACATGTGTGTTATGGTTGTGTAAATTATCTATAATGGCTCCGATAATACATGTGTGTTATGGTTGTGTAAATTACCTATAATGGCTCCGATAATACATGTGTGTTATGGTTATACAAGTGGGTCACAACAGGAGACAATCACATAGCAATAATGATGTGCTTGCATACAGTAAAAGTTTGATGTATGTCTAACAAAAGTACCAAATGTCTCCCCCCCCCCCCCAAGTATAAAAGACACTTATCCATAAACAGAGGCTCTGAAAATAGTGGGTGTCTTATGCAATGGTAGTATATTTTTACCAAATGATTTGTTAGAAAATATCCAGTACAGGGCTTCATTTGGGAATGACAAGAAAGTGTGTTTGTGACTGTGTGTACGAGAGTGTGTGTGATTGTAGGAGTGTGTGGGATTAAGTATATATATACACAGAATAAAGTGGGTTAGTGACTGCGTATGAGGGTTTGTGACTGTGAACAACAATGTGGGTGTGTACGAGTGTGGGTGTGTATGAGTGTTTGCGGACAGTAGGTAAAAGATAAGAGGAGATGATGATCACAGAAATGTACATAGCCTGAATCAGTTGAAGAAGACAATTGTAAGTGTGGTCTTATTTGTGTGTGTTGACAGTCCACTTTGTGTGCGCGCGAATAGTCAACTCGTGTGAGTGTCTGTAAATAATGTTGCAGGAATGAGCCAGAAAACACAGGCACAAGAGGAAAAGATTGACTTCATATCCGCTGTATCTTCTCTCCTTTCACAACAGGATTGTTCTTGCGAATCTCCTGCTGAGCCTTCTCCTTGAAGTCGAAGCTACACTCGTGGGTGTCGGAGTAACGATGCAAGCTGCACAACAGTTTACCACAATGGCAAACAAAACCTGTGGATGTGGCAACAAAAGTCAATTCTACAGCTACAATCTCTCCATCTGCCACCTACACATACTGCCAATGTTAAACTTTCAGGACTGACTGACTGACCTTCCACCCCACCAGGACATCACACAAGCGATAAACACCCGATGACACAAAGTGCCACCATGTGGATGAGGATCATTGCGGAGAGGTCCCAGAAACCGCGTTCAGACAATTGGCCATATTGATGGCCTGCCTATATTGCGGCCCCTGGCAAAAGCCAGAGTGGAGCTTCAAATAACAAAAAATTACGTCCTAAAAAGGACGTAAGGAATATTAAGAATAACTTTCAGGAAAGAAAACCTCTCAGAAATACACACACACACACACACAAAAACATCAAAATAAACTTCCATATGAGCACAGCAGTACAATATTTACAAATGTCTGATCTCTTGGCTTCCATTACCCTGAAGGTCTATCCTCAATCTACCACTGAAAGTTGGAAACAGAAATCTAGTGTATCAATACACACTCGAGACAGAGTGAATGCAATCTACTGCTACAAGATGGAGACATGGGGAGGAAAGGGGGGGGGGGGGGGGCACAATCTACCACTACAAGATGGAGACATAGGGGACACAATCTGCCACTACAAGATGGATACATAGGGGATACAATCTACCACTACAACATAGAGACATGGGGGACACAATCTACCACTACAAGATGGAGACAGGCGACACAATCTACCACTACAAGATGGAGACATAGGGGACACAATCTACCACTACAAGATGGAGACATGGGGGACACAATCTGCCACTACAAGATGGAGACATAGGGGACACAATCTACCACTACAAGATGGAGACATGGGGGACACATTCCACCACTACAAGATGGAGACATGGGGGACTCAATCTACCACTACAAGATGGAGACATAGCCCACTACAACATGGGGACATGGGGGACACAATCTGCCACTACAAGATGGAGACACTGGGTCATAATCCACCACTACAAGATGGAGACATGGGGGACACATTCCACGACTACAACATGGAGACATGTGGGACACAATCTGCCACTGGCAGGTGGAGACATAAGGACACAATCTGCCAATGGTAGGTGGAGACATGTGGGACACAATCTACCAAATCAATTATACACATCAAAAAAACTTCCAATCCTCAATCCTTTCAATGGACCAGAAAAAGGCATTTAACAGAATATCGTAATCATACCTCTACTGGCAAATTTGGCCGGTAAGCTGGAACTGCTTCGGCCGGCTTAGCGGGGCTTAGTGGGAGTAATGTCCCTTCGCGTCCCTTCACCAAACTCAAAACAAGTCGCGGAAAAAGTCACGAATCAAATGACATACTTACCTATCATCATCCGGGTGCGTGTAGGGCTGCGTAGGGTTGCGTCTAGGGTTACCTATCATCATACGGTTGCGTGTAGGGCTGCGTAGGGTGTCTATCATCATCGTACGGTTGTGTGTAGGGATGCGTAGGGTGTCTATCATCACCATCATACGGTTGCGGGTAGGGTTGCGTAGGGTTTGGGTTAGCAGTAGGGTTAGGGGTAGGGTTAGGGTTAGGGGAAGGGTTAGGGGGAGGGTTAGGGGTGTGGGTTAGGGTTAGGGGGTAGGGTTAGGGTTAGATGATGTGAAAATATTCACGTAGGAGGTGGAAATACTGGCCGAAAAATCTGATGCTTGTGGGAGTGGCGCCACTGGAAGTGTGGCAAATATGACGGCAATAGCGCGCGGCGGCTGGTGCCCCAATCGGTGGCGGCGAATTGTCCGTGTCAGTAGCATCCACCGTCCGTCGACTGTTTGCGCGTGCATGCGACTGTGCGCGATTGTAGGGAACTACGGCGTCACAATTGTCACATCTAACGCTACACCTAACCCTAACCCCTAACCCTAAACCCTAACCCTAAACGCTAACCCCTAACCCTACCCCTCATCTATCTTACGCAAACAACCAACCCTACATGCAATAAGCAGCCCTACACGCAACCGTAGGACGATGATAGACACCCTACGCAACCCTACACGCACCCGGATGATGATAGGTAAGTATGCCGTTTGATTCGTGACTTTTTCCGCGACTTGTTTTGAGTTGTTTTGAGTTTGGCCAAGGGACATAACTCACACTAAGCCCCGCTACGCCGGCCGAAGCAGTCCAGCTTACCGGCCAAATTTGCCAGTAGAGCCCAAAATTCTTAGATTTTCCAACTTGGGAATTTTATTTCCAAACTTGGATCAAAATTCTTTACGAAAGACCTGAAAGCCAAATCCTGTTAAATCACAACCTCACTAACTCCTTTAGATTGATTAGATCTGTCAGGCAGGGATGCCCCCTATCTCCCTTACTATACGTTATTGCTCTAGAGCCCCTTCTAGAAAAGATACGACAGGACACCAATGTCAGGGGTACATTCATACCAGGGAAGGGTGAGCAGAAACTGTGTGCGTAGGCTGATGATAGCATTTTCTTTCCAACAACTGAAAAATCAGTGAAAATCATTTTAGAAACTGTCTCATATTTTGGCAAAGGGAGTGGCGCAAAATTGAATGTTCAAAAGTCTACTTTGTTGGGATTAGGAAAATGGAAAAACAAATCAGATTTTCCATTTGATTTAGCCACAATTAGTTGTATCAGAGTGTACGGAATTGTCTTTTCCTGTCACCCAAACTACACACACAAAACTACATGGCAGAATCTAGTCACAAAAATAACAGATATGTTACATTTATATAAATATAAAATAGCCACCATCTTCGGTAGAAGCATAATTGTGAACACATATATAATACCAAAAATATTATATCTATGTACAGTCCTAGATCTTCCTCGTCAGACTGTCAAAGATATAAACAAGGAGATTAGACATTTTGTTTTGATCCGATTATAATTTAAACATTGAAAGAAAAAAAAACCCACGCAGATCAGCTGCATCAAAAATGACTGGTCCCGCACCTTTCCTCCTGCCCACCCCAGTCCTTTTCTTCGTCCCTTTCTTCTTCTCTGTCAAACGCTGGTGAGATGTGATGCCAGTTTGAATATGCATCATTTTCACCGCCCTAAATTTGTGTTTATAAATTCTGTAACAAATGTATATATGATGCAACCCTATCATCATCACCACCATCATAACAGTCTACCACCACCAACAAATATTTATGAATGGTGCCTCCTTTCCTTACCCCCTGTCATTTTCTGTCTCCTGCTTTGTTCTATTCTCTTCCAAATGTTGGTGGATTTTAGGTACCACGTCATAATTTTTTACCATTTTATTATTTTTGCTTTTGTTAATGTATATGAAATATTGTAAACCATGTTTTAAACCAATAAACGTATTTAAAAAAAAAAAAAAAATACCAATGGCAGGTGGAGATATGGGTGACACAAACTACCACTACAAGATGAAGACATTGGGGACACAATCTACCAAAGGCAGGTGGAGACATGTGGGACACAATCTACCAATGGCAGGTGGAGACATGTGGGACACTACCAATAGCAGGTGGAGATATGGGGGACACAATCTACCAATGGCAGGTGGAGATATGGGGGACACAATCTACCAATGGCAGGTGGAGACATGGGGGACACAATCTACCAATGGCAGGTGGAGATATGGGGGACACAATCTACCAATGGCAGGTGGAGACATGGGGGACACAATCTACCAATGGCAGGTGGAGATATGGGGGACACAATCTGCCAATGGCAGGTGGAGATATGGGGGACACAATCTACCAATGGCAGGTGGAGATATGGGGGACACTACCACTACAAGATGAAGACATTGGGGACACAATCTAACACTATGAGGTATAGACATGGGGAACACAATCTACCACTTTAAGATGTAGACATGGGGGACACAATCTACCAATGGCAGGTGGAGACATGGGGGACACTACCACTACAAGATGAAGACATGGGAGACACAATCAACCAATGGCAGGCGGAGACATGGGGGAAAATACCACTACAAGATGAAGACATGGGGGACACAATCTACCACTACAAGAAGTAGACCTATGGGACACAATCTACCACTACAAGATGAAGACATGGGGGACACAATCTACCACTACAAGATGTAGACATGGGAACAAAATATTTCAATTCAAGTTGTGGGCGGGGAGCACAATCTAGTCTGTGAGGGAAGCTGTATAGCAGCTACAACTCTACAGAGACGATCTATAAATGAAGCTAGATGTTGTAACAATGGTCAAACAATAGATAAAACAAGCTATAACAGACAGACAGTACCTGTCAGCCCAACTTTTTTCCGGCACTCCATACAGCGATTCTTCTTGGGTTTCTTGCCTTTCTCACCCTCGCTCTCACTGTCACCTGAACAGGAGATATACAAACACTCACCTGAACAGGAGATATACAAACACTCACCTGAACAGGAGATATACAAACACTCACCTGAACAGGAGATACACACTCACCTGAACAGGAGATATACAAACACTCACCTGAACAGGAGATTTACAAACACTCACCTGAACAGGAGATATACAAACACTCACCTGAACAGGAGATATACAAACACTGTCACTTGAACAGGAGATATACAAACACTGTTACTTGAACAGGAGATATACAAACACTGTCACCTGAACAGGAGATATACAAACACTGTTACTTGAACAGGAGATATACAAACACTGTCACCTGAACAGGAGATATACAAACACTGTCACCTGAACAGGAGATATACAAACACTGTTACTTGAACAGGAGATATACAAACACTGTCACTTGAACAGGAGATATACAAACACTGTTACTTGAACAGGAAATATACAAACACTGTTACTTGAACAGGAAATATGCAAACACTGTTACTTGAACAGGAAATATGCAAACACTGTTACTTGAACAGGAGATATACAAACACTGATACTTGAACAGGAAATATACAAACACTGTTACTTGAACAGGAAATATACAAACACTGTTACTTGAACAGGAGATATACAAACACTGTTACTGGAACAGGAAATATAAAAACACTCACTTGAACAGGAAATATACAAACACTGTTACTTGAACAGGAAATTTACAAACACTGTTACTTGAACAGGAGATATACAAACACTGTTACTTGAACAGGAAATATACAAACACTGTTACTTGAACAGGAGATATACAAACACTGTCACCTGAACAGGAAATATACAAACACTGTTACTTGAACAGGAGATATACAAACACTGTTACTTGAACAGGAGATATACAAACACTGTTACTTGAACAGGAAATATACAAACACTCACTTGAACAGGAAATATACAAACACTCACTTGAACAGGAAATATACAAACACTCACCTAAACAGGAAATATACAACTGCAGGGCACAACATCACACAGCTGCAGGAGACAACATCACACAACTGCAGTAGACAACATCACACAACTGCAGGAGACAACATCGCACACCTGCAGGAGACAACATCACACAGCAGCAGGACACAACATCACACAACTGCAGGAAACAACATTCCACAGCTACAGGGCACAACATCACACAACTGCAGGGAACAACATCACACAACTGCAGGGAACAACATCACACAACTGCAGGGAACAACATCACACAACTGCAGGGAACAACAACACACAACTGCAGGAGACAACACACAAGTGCAGGGGACATCATCACACAACTGCAGGGCACAACATCCTGCAGCTGCATAGCACAACATCACACAACATCAGGAGACAACATTCCACAGCTGCAGGGCACAACATTACACAACTGCAGGGCACAACATTACACAACTGCAGGTGACATCACACAGCTGCAGGGCACAACATCCCACAGCTGCAGGGCACAACATCACACAACTGCAGGACACAACATCCCACAGCTGCAGAGGACATAAGCACACAGCTGCATAAAACAACATCACACAGATCAGCCCCAATTTGAGATTTTCCAGATTCAGGGAAAACAACACATACTATTTCAGATATTAGATGTTCCAGATTTAGGGGACAACATCCCACAGATCTTCCCCCAAAAATAGATCTTCTAGATTCAGGGAACAACAACATAGGTCAGCCCCAATTTTAGATGTTTTATTAGATGTTTTGGATTCAGAGGACTGCAATAACATACATAGGCCTTAATATTAGATGTTTTATTAGATGTTTTAGATTCAGGGGACTACAATAACACATATAGGCCACAATATTAGATGTTTTTTTTAGATGTTTTGGATTCAGGGGACTACAATAACACACATAGCCCCTAATATTAGATGGTCCAGATTAAAGGGACAACAACATCCCACAGGTCAGCCACAATATAAGATGGTCCAAAATAAAGGGACAACAACATCCCACAGGTCAGCCACAATATTAGATGGTCCAAAATAAAGGGACAACAACATCCCACAGGTCAGCCACAATATTAGATGGTCCAAAATAAAGGGACAACAACATCCCACAGATCAGCCACAATATTAGATGGTCCAGATTAGAGGGGCAACAACATCCCACAGATCAGCCACAATATTAGATGGTCCAGATTAGAGGGACAACAACATCCCACAGATCAGCCACAATATTAGATGGTCCAGATTAAAGGGACAACAACATCCCACAGATCAGCCACAATATTAGATGGTCCAGATTAAAGGGACAACAACATCCCACAGATCAGCCACAATATTAGATGGTCCAAAAATAAAGGGACAACAACAAAAACTTATAAGACCTAAAGAATAGATGTTCCAGATTCAGGGAACAACAACAACATAGATCAGCCCCAATATTAGTGTAACAAGTCATTTTCTCATTGTTGGTAAATTGTTTCATTATCTGGAAATGAGGACAACTTAGTATTAGTTGCGTATCCTTTACAGGACGTTGCAGAACCAACCCAAGCATTTTTTGGCTGTTGTGGTTTTCCTAAGCAAGTTTACGTATAGTAGTTTGCCACTGCGTTACTGAATGGTCGGCTTCTCGATACCACTGTTGAAACCAACGCAAGGCCTGCAGTTTGGATCGAATCCGGCACCCCTGTATTACAAAGTGTGATCAAGCTGCTGGCCTGTGTCTTATCATTCGGATTTCACATACCCACTTATTTGCATTTTCCATTCACCTGCACATCCCTATTTCTACTCACCAATTTCTATTCCATATTCCCACTCATCATTCGTCTACCATATTCCCAATAACCTGCAAACATCCACTGAGCACCCCAAGCCTGGCAATCTATCACTGACCTCCTGTGGATCCTCCACTGCCCCCAACATCGTCGCTGGACGCAGCCTTCATGGACGTGACAGTAGGACTGGCAGTCTCCAGCATGGAGCAGCCAGCAACTGGGAGTTTGTCAGTGACCTTGTCATTGTTGGAGTTGCTGGAGGCATTCACATTCATTTCTGTCAACAAATATTAGAGTACATCTCACATCTGAAAACTGTTTATGTTAATCTGTCAACAAGTATCATATTGTGGGCATCTCAGAGCAAGATTCACGGTACATCACAGAGTTTAAATGTTCAACTGTATGTCTGTCTGCAAGATTCATAGTAACCTAAGAGCATAAATGTTAGACTTTATGTCTGACTGCAAGATTCATGGTAACCTAAGAGCATAAATGTTAGACTTTATGTCTGTCTGCAAGATTCATGGTAACCTAAGAGCATAAATGTTCAACTGTATGTTTGTCTGCAAGATTCATGGTAACCTAAGAGCATAAATGTTCAACTGTATGTCTGTCTGCAAGATTCATGGTAACCTAAGAGCATAAATGTTAGACTTTATGTCTGACTGCAAGATTCATGGTAACCTAAGAGCATAAATGTTAGACTTTATGTCTGACTGCAAGATTCATGGTAACCTAAGAGCATAAATATGCTTAAATCCGAATTACAATGGGGAGTTTCTCAGAGCTAATACAACAGGTACACACACTTAAGAAGCCTGCCACCTAAAACCTCAACTAGACAATTCAGATTTTCATCACAGGTAATCAATCAGTGCCTTCTAGACTGATGTCGACAAGCCTAAGACAAATACAGATTCCAGATACCCTGTTCAACCTGAAAAGATTTAATTGGGACACCCATAATGACTACACCAGCCTCATGTCACCTGCTGGGCTGTATGGGTAAGTACATATATGTCAACAAAGGCATCAACACAGGCCCAGATGACACTGGTTCTAGGTACAGATGAAACTGAGGTTCCAGGTCTAAATGAAACTGGTTTTAGGCACAGATGACAGTGAGGTTCCAGGCACAGAAGACAGTGAGGTTCCAGGCACAGATGACAGTGAGGTTCCAGGCACAGATGACAGTGAGGTTCCAGGCACAGATGACACTTATGTTCAAGGCCAAGATGACACTGGTTCCAGGCCCAGATGAAACTGGTTCTAGGTACAGGTGACACTGAGGTTCCAGGCACAGATGACAGTGAGGTTCCAGGCACAGATGACAGTGAGGTTCCAGGCACAGATGACAGTGAGGTTCCAGGCCCAGATGACAGTGAAGTTCCAGGCATAGATGACAGTGAGGTTCCAGGCACAGATGACAGTGAGGTTCCAGGCCCAGATGACACTGGTTTTAGGTACAGATGACAGTGAGGTTCCAGGCACAGATGACAGTGAGGTTCCAGGCCCAGATGACACTGGTTTTAGGTACAGATGACAGTGAGGTTCCAGGCACAGATGACAGTGAGGTTCCAGGCCCAGATGACACTGGTTTTATGTACAGATGACAGTGAGGTTCCAGGCACAGATGACAGTGAGGTTCCAGGCCCAGATGACACTGGATTTAGGTACAGATGACAAGTGAGGTTCCAGGCACAGATGACACTTATGTTCAAGGCCAAGATGACACTGGTTCCAGGCCCAGATGAAACTGGTTCTAGGTACAGATGACAGGGAGGTTCCAGGCACAGATTACACTTATGTTCAAGGCCCAGATGACAATGGTTCCAGGCACAGATGACACTGAGGTTCAAGGCCCAGATGACAGTGAGATTCCAGGAAGACGTGATGAATGAACGAACTTTATTTTCAAGGGTCACAAATTAGGCACACATGCCGATGTCTTACATTCAGCCCTTCCAAACTCCTATCTTTCACACAGCAGTTGTATTTCATCAATAAAGCATGTTAAGTTCATGTAATGATATGCATATTATGAATATCAAGTCAAAAACAAAAGATTGGGTGGTAAAATACATGCGCATGCTCCCGCACGAACATCCACACCCACATAGACATGCAAACCTTTTTACTTACTTATACACACAGGCACCTAATACATACATACATACATACACATCCACTTACATACAAACATGCACAGACACACACTTATGTACGTACAGCCTGGAGAGGCACATGACAACTCCCCAACCAATGTTAACTTGCTAAGACAAGAATAAATGAACCCACCACACAGTGAAGCTTTGCTCAGAACTGCAGATACAGCATCAACAGTGACATCACTGTCAGAAGCTGCAAGACAAATGGAAGATAGCCCCATGGGTGGTGTACCACTGGCAGACTGAATGGCAGACACCGGTGAATCATTCTGCTTTAGCTGCTTCAAATCTTTGTAGCATTTGGAGCACAGGCCATCAAAAGCTTGGGCTGCGTAAAAGCCACAGCCATTGCGGCAGAACTGGCTTGCCATATTTTGGTTTCCATTCTGTTCCATAGACATGGCCCTGACCTTGTGCAGAAAGTTTCAGTCACCTGCAGACAGACAGAATGAATTCACAACACATTCCCTGCATTACCTTGTTGGACTGAACTGACAACAACAACTTAAACACAATTCTGGCATTACACTGTTGAATCAAACTGCCATTAACAATTTAAAAACATTCTGCATATATCTTATTTGTCAAACAGCTGTACACACACTGGATTTGGCAGTTTTATTTTTTGGTTCAGCCAGGTGTTTGATCTATTTATTCAGCCAGGTGTCTGATCTATTGGTTCAGCCAAATGTCTGATCTATTGGTTCAGCCAGGTGTCTGATCTATTGGTTCAGCCAGGTGTCTGATCTATTGGTTCAGCCAGATATCTGATCTATTGGTTCAGCCAGATATCTGATCTATTGGTTCAGCCAGGTGTCTGATCTATTGGTTCAGCCAGATATCTGATCTATTGGTTCAGCCAGGTGTCTGATCTATTGGTTCAGCCAGGTGTCTGATCTATTGGTTCAGCCAGGTGTCTGATCTATTGGTTCAGCCTGGTGTCTGATCTATTGGTTCAGCCAGGTATCTGATCTATTGATTCAGCCAGGTGTCTGATCTATTGGTTCAGCCAGGTGTCTGATCTACTGGTTCAGCCTGGTGTCAGTTCTTTTGGTTCAGCCAGGTATCTGATCTACTGGTTCAGCCAAATTTCTGATCTATTGGTTCAGCCAGGTGTCTGATCTACTGGTTCAGTCAAATTTCTGATCTATTGGTTCAGCCTGGTGTCTGATCTACTGGTTCAGCCAAATTTCTGATCTATTGGTTCAGCCAGGTGTCTGATCTACTGGTTCAGCCTGGTGTCAGTTCTTTTGGTTCAGCCAGGTGTCTGATCTATTGGTTCAGCCAGGTGTCTGATCTATTGATTCAGCCAGGTGTCTGATCTACTGGTTCAGCCAGGTGTCTGATCTATTGGTTCAGCCAAATTTCTGATCTATTGGTTCAGCAAGGTATCTGATCTATTGGTTCAGCAAGGTATCTGATCTATTGGTTCAGCCAAATTTCTGATCTATTGGTTCAGCCAGGTGTCTGATCTATTGGTTCAGCAAGGTATCTGATCTATTGGTTCAGCCAAATTTCTGATCTATTGGTTCAGCCAGGTGTCTGATCTATTGGTTCAGCAAGGTATCTGATCTATTGGTTCAGCCAAATTTCTGATCTATTGGTTCAGCCAGGTGTCTGATCTACTGGTTCAGCCAGGTGTCTGATCTACTGGTTCAGCCAGGTGTCTGATCTATTGGTTCAGCCAGGTGTCTGATCTATTGGTTCAGCAAGGTGTCTGATCTATTGGTTCAGCCAGATATCTGATCTATTGGTTCAGCCAGGTGTCTGATCTATTGGTTCAGCCAGGTGTCTGATCTATTGGTTCAGCCAGGTGTCTGATCTACTGGTTCAGCCAGGTGTCTGATCTACTGGTTCAGCCAGGTGTCTTATCTACGTGTTCAGCCACCTGAGCACATTCTGCAGACCTGCCCACTCTACCTACAACTTCAAAAAGACACCTGGCCTCAAGAGCAAAGTGTGCAGAGCAAGCTATGGGAACCATGCAGGACCTGCAGCTGACATGCGAGTTCATAGAGGCAACCCACATGATGGTCTGATATGAGCATAGAAAACCGAAAACAAAGAAGCAGAAGGATCAGCCAGGCGTCTGATCTGTTTGATCCAGCTGGTGTGTAGTCTACCTGGGTCGGCAAGGTAAGTAATCAATCAGGATTAAAGCCATGTGAAAGACCAGTTTCCCCAACCTGTATTCTTAGTATATGGTGCTACCAACCATGTTGTAGAGACCCAGTGACACTCCAGCCTTGTGGTCAGTCTCCTCTGTCATCTTCACTTCACTCAAACATAACTGTGTTACTAATGTCATGTATACTGAATCATGACCTGGTTATTTCTGATATCCCTCTATAAAGACATGACACGCCAGCTGTGATGTGCCAGATGAGACTAGTCATCCATCACCACTAGTTGCTGGGTCACAGAACTGAACAGACATGACATAACTGACACTAGAATAGTCCTCCACTAGTTGCTGGGTCGCAGAACCGAAGGAGAGACTGCAGACTACATGTATTTGTGGATATGATCTTCTTGTATTTGGCCAAGTGGGACATGTCTTCAGGTGGACTATAATAAATACAGGCCGTTTCTGGGTACCAATGTTTCAGACTTGGTAAACAACATTCTTCCTACTAATTCACCAAACAAACAACCAAGGTTTCACTCGACATTTATTCAATTCAGAATTCAAATGGTCATGTGACTATACATCCTGTTCAGTTACAGACTGGGGCTATACTCCAAATAACGGTCCTAAATTATCTAAAAAGGTGGAAAATATACCCTAACAAGGCCTCAGTCACGTGTCAATTGCGCACTTCTGTCGTCTTAAATTGCGCACTTCCAATGACTTCCGCCACCGCCGAGAGTATGCCGCACACGCGCCGTGGATTGGAGCTAAACTAGATGGCTGGGACTCACGAGCAGCAGCTACCACATCTCCTGCAGCTTCCTCCATTTTATTTGCTCGTGAGTCCTAGCCATCTAGTTTAGCCCCAATCCACACCGTGTGAGCGGCGTGGGGGGTACTCTCGGGGGTGGCGAAGGTCGCCAGAAGTTCACAATTCGGCGGTGGCGTTATAGTCCACGAAAGTGCCCAATTGACACGAGACTGAGGCCCTGTTAGGGTATATTTTCTACCTCGATAATTTAGGACCGTTATTCAAAGGATAGCCCAGACTGGAATGATAAAGTGTCTGATTGTATGCTGTTAGTTCCATTAGGTGCAGATATGTGAAATGAAAAGCAAATGTTTACCTCCCTGCAGAGCCACTAAAGGCCCAGAGCCTGCAGCCAAGTGTAGAGAAGCACCAACCAGACGTCCTCCTTCCTCTCCTATACTTGAATCTGCAGAGGCGACGGAGTCTCGGTAGATGGGACGAGAGACAGAACACAACCTTGTGTTCGTTCCAAAGATCTGGGTGGACAAGTTGAGATAGATTGCCAGTCTTAAGGTCTCTGCTCGACAACTTCTTGAGCGTCTTTCTCAAGTGTCACCGACCTCTAGTTCAACTGTGAATTACAACAAATACAAGCTTATCGCAGCAATAGAAGAGGACAAGTCGCTGGGGTCTGACATGGCATTAGACTGTCCCAGACAAGGAAGAGTCAGACAAGAAGACAAGACGACATCGTCCGTGGCTGCCTGGGCCCACAACACAAAATGGCTGAAAGTAGGGCCAATCAAGATGTCGGGTGTTTCCGGTTGACTGGTATAAGTTTCACAAGTCTCCTCAACTTTCTTCTAGCTCAGTGTCTGACAACATGGAGACAGGATTATTGCTAAATGGGCTTGGAAAGACACATCAGCCTTGACAAGACAAGACAACAAACACATACTTGTCACTTACGTGGATCGTCACTCCGTCCCCGTGTCGCTATTTCCGATCATGTGAGTCACATGACGCTAGCTGAGCGTTTCATTGGCTGAGCTACAGTCACTGAGAATACCTGCCCCTTTCTTGTTACACTTACCGAAAATATCGAGGGAAGACAAGGTGGACTTGTAGGTAGCAGAGGTCCAAATGGTTTTCTAACAACTGTCAGGACCGAGAAGTTAAAACTGGACGTTTGGGCGGTGGTTTGAATTAGTGGCCTAAAGGAGAGCTACACAATTTGTGTTGAGTCGGGACGGTGGGTAGTTACTAGTCAATAATTGACATCACAGCACTCGGGGCATTCTCATGCATGCTCCGTCCTCATCTTCAGCAGCCAGCGCAGAGTTCCAATACTGATGGTACCAGTTACAATCTGGTTAAAAGTCCGTATTGTCTTTCATCTGAGTGTAGTGACCCGGCAAGACCCTCTGGTTACACCCGGATGCCTCATTCTCTCCAGACTATAATAATCTTCTTTCTCTACAGATTCAGTTATCTGTTACCAAAGGGCCTTGACACATCTGCCTAGCCGTGTATCAATTCACCACCCAGTGGTGCGGATCCAGCTAATCTGACTGACTGTTTATTACCCACAACACCGGCATAGCCTGGAGAAAAGATCCGAAATGTGCTCACCACCCGTGACCTTTCCAGTGAAGCTTGCCACTCTGCTCGAAGCATCCCTGTCTGCACCTTTTTCAGCATGCTTTTAAGGTCTGTTACAACTACGACATGTGTGTGCATCTTGTTCTCTGGCCACAGGAGAGCTGCAGTTACCGCCTCCACCTCCATCCTTATGCTAGATGTTGTGGTGTCATATGCTAGGCTGTCTTGCACTAAAGATTGTCCACTGGTTTTCGCTACGATCCTCCAGGCACTTCTCTTTCCTCTTAACACTGAACCATCTGTATATATAATCAAACCAGAATCAACTGTTAGACTTCAACCTCCGTAGCACCCGCTGGCCACTCTGCACACCCAGCCCAATGTGATTATAACCCTACAAAGGTCAGAATTTCCCGCTGGTACTCTGACCCACTCCTCTCCTCGCTCAATGTTCTCCAGCATGCATACTTGTCTTATTGTGTCTTCTGTTTGAGCCATCCACGATTTTCCTCTTTGTACACCAGTCCATCACCTTATCTGCTGTTGCCTATAACTCTTCAACTATTTGATTCCGATCTATCCCCCTCCTATATACAAGAACATCATCTGCAAATGTCAATATTCTGCCAACTCCAGGTGTTTCCAGGCAGGCAATCTTGCTAGTAAAAATATAGAAAAGTACAGGTGGAATTGCAGATCCCTGTGGTAGTCCTGGAGCTATAATACATGGTTCAGAGTTCCATGAAACCAGGCGAAGAGCTACCCGGCGAGTATACAAAACAGCCTCTATCCAATTCACCAACTAAGGACAGACACCCTTCTCCATACGCACTTTTATCAAGATATTGTATCTGACTGTTGTAAACATCTTCTAAATCAAGTGCCGCTGCCACCGTTTCCTGTCTGTTCTGGAAGCC